ACCCAACTAAAATGGGCAAATTTATGTTACGATAAAAATAAAACACTTTTTAACAAAGGAACATTAAATTTATGAAATAAAAAAATAAAAAGAGTTCGACAACTTCTAGTAGATTCTATGTTACGATATAACCAAAACAAACCAACAAACCCAACCCAACCGAACACTTTTTAACATAAAAGCAACAAATTTATGAAATAAAAAAATAAAAAAAATTCGAATTGATGTGTTATGTTTATATTTATTTTTAGTCAGAAATCATAATAACTCTGAAAAAGTTATTGTTGTAGAGAATTATATCGATAGTAAATAAGAAAGTTTAATTTAAATAGCATAATTGGTTAATATTTATCAATTACTTACGTTTTAAGATATAAAAATGGCCGTAAATTCATCAAATATTTGTTAAAAGACTATTTTTTACGATTCAGCTTTTTTTTCACTATTTTTTGCGAATTGTTAAAAAAAATTGCAAAAAAAATGTTCATTCAAAAAATTGAACTTTGATGACTCCTACTGGCGAACCACTACGAGTTACACAAAAAAACACAAAGACAATTTTGAAGATCGTGAAATTCCCTATAAGGTCCATAAAACCGATTCACAATATTGTAAAAAGCGGGCGAGCATTAGAATTTGAAAAAAAAAAAAATTTTTTTACATGCATTTTAAATGGGAAAACTTTAAATTTAAACTGCAAGTACTTAAAATTGATATTAAGAGCTCTACCTTGGTGAAAATTTTTTTTCTATAGGTAGATTAATATTTTGCTTGAGCACCGAAAAAAAAAAAACTTTGCGGAAATGAATCACCCTAGTGTACATTGTACATGTACCTACATAAAGTAAATAAAACAAAAGTTATTTTCATGATTTTATTTGTTATTTAATAATATAAATTCATATAAATGTATTTAAAGCACCAATTCGATTAATTTTGATCATATGTTCGATGTTGTCTAAACTAAATAATTATAATTAATATTATTGGGTTGAGATCCAGAGTTGCATTAGAAAATATGTACAGCATTAACATAATAATGCAACTGTGATTCAAAACCTAAACGCAAACTAGCCTTGAAGCATAATTTGCATTTTTTGTTACTAACATTAATACAAATTCAATAAAACAGTATTATTTATATCTAGTCTAGCCATAAGTTATGTTCCTCAGCAAATGGTTGATTTTGTGATTTTTTTAAACTATATATAATTAAAATTAAATTTCTTTTTTTTATAATGGAGTAAATAAAAAAAATCGAAAATTTCAATATTCGAAAAAATTAATAAATATATATTCGTCTTTGTGTGATGGATATAACTTATTGCAAGACATGCATATGAAGTTTTTTGGCATAAAAACTTTATATTTAATTTTCGCTAAAACTGACAGTTTTAGGAGAAGTTCATACTGTTTTATTGAACCGGGTTGTGGAAAATAGCATTTTCCTTGGTTACATAAATATCCCGTCACCGTCCCTTGTTAAAAATTATCACGATTATTCGAAAGCGAAACGAACTAAGTAACGTTTGTTTCAATTAAATAGTTTCACGTACTGAGGTAAATTTTTAACTTAAATACATAACGAGGCAAGTGTATAAAGTCAACTAAAGTGAGAATTTCGATAAAATGGCAGTAAGAAGAACACCGAATTTGCGGAAATACTTATTTTAAAATAGATTTGATCGGTTTATGAGCAATGAGCCTAAATGGCACGACTTAAACTAACATGTGATCCAAGCTGTTTAACATTTACAAAATCGACATAATAGAACATTTTGTTTTCCACAGTGTGGCCAATAACTTTTCTAGGGTAATTTGATTTTTGAAAATTGTGCAATTTTGGCATTTTTTTGTTAAAAAAGTTTATAATTTTTTAAAATTTTAATTAGGACCTATAAATTTAAAAGGAAACGACGTACACGTCATTGATGACGTCATAATTTTGCGCACTGGTACAAATACTAAATGTATAAAACGAAGTCTGTAATTGACCATATGCAAGGAATGCGGTCGATGTTGCCAATGGTAAAAAAATAAAATTCCCTATTGGGAACATTCAATTATATTACGTTGGCTACACTGAAATTTTGAATTTCCCGCACAAACTGACATACATTCTAGTAGTTCCCAGAGATAAAGAAGGTAGTTCCAATGTTTTATAATAAATTAAGGTGCGAATTTCAAATGTGGAAATTATTATTAATTATTATTATTAAAAAAAAGATGGAAAATAATTTAGTTTGTGCGGGAAATTCAAATTTTCAGTGTAGCCAACGTAATATAATTGAATGTTCCCAATAGGGAATTTTATTTATTTACCATTGGCAACATCGACCGCATTCCTTGCATATGGTCAATTGAATATTTTAATGCATTTTAACCAAATTAGGTTGGCAGCAATTGCAATGTTGTCATGTTTAGATTAAAATTTTGCTTAATAAAATGACGCATAGAAAAATGTTGTGTTTTTGAATATTTCGTTTAATTCGTGTATAATTTCGTTTATTTTGTTTATTGTTTGTGTTATTTTATATTTTGTTTTTGTTTTCCCTATATTTAAACAGCTATTAGACAGGTAAATAGGATTATTATTAATTATATATTAGAATATTTAACAAAATATATGTTGGATACATAAAATAATAATATATAGATTAAGGTGCTTCAAAAAATAAAATTTAATTTTTTTTTTCGCTCTTACCCTCTCAAATGTTTCTATTTAATATAAAAAATTCCTCACCAAATATGGGCGTTCCATCTCAACTCTAGGAGGTCGCTGTTTTTATTTTAGTTTCCAATTTAATTAACAAGGAAAAAATAATTTTTTGTTTGGAATTTTATATCTCTGTATCAAAGTAACTTATGGCAATGATCATTGCAGTTTTTTATATAAAATATAACGCTCTACAAAAAAGGTCTCTTATTATTTTTCGATAAATTGATTTCTTCTAGAGTTATTCGAGGTCAAAGTTTGATAAACATCAAATTTTCTGGTTTTTTTAATTTTATGGTACAATTAGCAGGGGTACCCAAAAAATTTGGTAAAAATTTTTTTTTTAGATTGTTTTTTTCGGTTTCTAAATTATTTAAAAATTGACTCACAAGTTCACGCATTTAATCGAAAATAATTATTCTGAGCCTGTAGAGCGAGAAAAATGATGGTACAATTTTGGAAAACTTTTGCTCATGCTCATTTTTTGAGTACCCCATTTTGCTCCCCCACCCCGCTGCCTTGATTTGCCCCCTTTCAACTCCCGTCTGCTACCATAAAAATTGATGTTATCAAACTTTGACCTCGAATAACTCTAGAAGAAATCAATTTATCGAAAAATAATAAGAGACCTTTTTTGTAGAGCGTTACATTTTATATAAGAAACTGCATAGGTATAAAATTCCAAACATAATATTATGTTTTCCCATGTTAATTAAATGGGAAACTAAAATAAAAACAGCGACCTCTTAGAGTTGAGCTGAGATGCCCATATTTGGAGGGATTTTTTTAAAATTAAATAGAAACGTTTGAGAGGGTAAGAGCGAAAAAAAATTTAAATATTTTATGTTTGAAGCACCTTACCCTACCCTATATAGACTGACTTTAGATGGCAAAATTTCTGGGTTGTATAGCTGAAAATGTCTTTAAAAACGGCTAAAAACATACTTTTGGCGGTGCATCATGTAGGTTATAAAACTCTGACTTTTTACATTTTGGTATTCCAAGGTCCCAAATCTAGGGACCCTATGGTATTATTCGTGTAAACGCCATCTATCGATGCAATGATTTTAGCATCACATTGACAACCTTGCCCGATCAGCTGATTGATGACGTGTACGTCATTTCCTTTTAAATTTACTATATGGCTATATATAGCAATGTTCCTCAGTTAAAGTATTTGATTAATAAAATATACCTATACGAATTTGAATGATTGCGTGTTGAAAAAAAGTCTTAAAAACAAGAGCTAATTGAGCAAAATTATCCTAGAAACGCCTTTTGGGTCACCATGTGGCAAAATTGCTGTCGACCAGTGTTATCCACAGACCACCAAAACAAATGGACGGATTTGTTTACGTTTAAAAAGCGAGTAAAGCATAGTTTCACATTCTAAACACCGTCGAAAGAAACACGGCTTCCAACGTTGTCAGAAGTATAGATTACACGCCTTTTTGGACGTTCACCATAACATAATGAACATTAATAATTACCAGTAATTCGTTTGAATAATAAAAAATTGTAAAAAGGATTTGTTCATCATTTTCTTTAGATATTTTTCTCTATTTAAAGAAAGTAAATCATAACATGGACAGAAGCAAGGAACATGGCGAAGAACAGACAAACATGGAAGGAACTGGTAGAAAGGATGTAATGGCGATGCGTAGAATTAGCTACTCTACCATCACTTTGACCATAGAAAGCCCTAGAAACACCTTTACAGGTGCCCTTTGCTCCAGAAGGAGCTACAGGAAGAAGAAGAAGAAATCATTTAATAATTATTAAAATTAAATATTAACAACGTTGGTAAATTCGTCATATTTGACAGCATAGAAAAAGGTTATGTTCTGTGGGTTGACAGCTTGTTGTTTTGTGTTTTCGTTTGTGTATTTCTATCGTGTTTAAGTTAATTATGGAGTTTCAATACATTATGTTTTACTAAAAATAACAATACATGGAAATATCGTTTGTAAGTACCTACCTACTTATTATTTTTTTAATCCCAATACGTCACTGGAAGAAAACATAAAATTCTATCGCCAATTTAACGCTTACACTGTGACCGTTTGTTGACGTCACTGGAAGAAAACATAAAATTCTATCTCCAATTTGACGCTTAGACTGTGACCGTTTGTTGGCCGCAAACAAAGCATTGTTATGGAATGGCAATTGTTTTGGTGGTCTGTGGTGTTATCAGTTACAATTTTTTGTTAAAACAACAAACACTAAAAAATCATGAAAATTAGAATAAATTATTGTAACTCTCTATGATTTTGATGTTCAGAAGCAAAATAAACCCAACAGCAATTTTCATCGCAAAAAAAAATTGTAATTGCTAAACCAGTTGGATCGTTTTCGCGTACTATCTTTCAATCTAACTGCTATGACTGTAGGCAGTGTTCGTGTAAGGGCCGCTGTAAATCGAGCTGCCCGGGTTCGAGGACGTCTTCTTCCTCCTTCTCGCCATCAGGAACAAGATGGCCGCGACGACGCACAGCATCAGAATCAGGCCGGCTATGCAAATTCCGATCGCGAAGCTTCGCTGCGATATGCAGATGCTGTCCTCGGAAGCCTGAGGAGAAAAAATATTTTGATGAAAAAATATTTGAGAAAAATGTGCAAAAATGAACAAAATTTTAAAATATTGTTCAAATAATTCCAAAAATCAGGATATATCTTATACGAGGGCTGGGTTGGTAAATGGGAGGTATTATAATAATAATAATAATAATCTTTATTGCCCAACAGATAAAAGATCTAATAACAGTACAAAATATAAAAAAAAAATTAAATAAAATATAATATATGGCAACATTAGGAAACAAATAAACTTAAAAGAAATAACTTATGAGGCCTGTCAGAGCAAAGTCAACAATCTCCCGTCAGACTAAAACTTGAAATTGAGATAATTGATTTTGGTATTTTATATTTTAGATTTGTAATTTTTTTCATATATTATATTGAAATATTGTCGTTGTTAGTCTAGTAGCCAACTACAAGGTCTCCAGGAAGCATAGTATAGGTGAAATCTATAATTATAAATTGGAGATTGCTGACTTTGATATGAATTGCTGGAGATTGCTCATTTTGTTGTAAACGTTTAAGGAGATTAAAAAAATAAACAAAAAAATAATTGTATTTTTTCCTTTAATGATAAAATTTAACTATACAATCAATGTGGGAAAATTCCGAACTGGACCACATAAATCTGGAGTTTCTTCTAAATCTGGGACCAGGTTGCCTCGTGCAAAAAAGTTTTTATAGTACAACAACTCATCTTCTTCCCACTTTGCCCCGTAATGTTTTACTTGCAATGTTTTGACATTATCAGCCTTTTCTTGCTTTACCTTTACGTCTTATTATGGTATAATAGCACAAAATAAACAAGATAACTTTTTTTATAATTCTTAAAAGAATAAAACGTAATTTACTGCTATAGAACTTAACAGTATGTACCAGTAAAAAAAAACACAAAATTAAATCTCTAAAATACGTTATAACATCAAATGTTAGGATATCAGGTGACACAAATTACTAATTTCTAATGGTGGAATTGGAGATTGTATACTTTGCTGCAAATCTATCAGTGGAGATTGTCGACTTTGCACTAAATGTCATTTTTAAAATAGGATTTTAGGCAGGATTTAGCTCCTTTTGCAGCACATAAACTTTATCATCTTATAGATAATTAGTTGAAGTACAGTCTCCGCCAAAAATCTAATTTTTGACAAAAAGTGGAGATTGTCGGTTTTGCTATGACAGGCCTCATATGGTTAGTTGAAACAAAAATTATTTACTAAATCCTTAATTATTATATTTAAAGAAGAAAAATTAATCACAATTAATACAAAGATCATTAAAATTGGTACACTAAATAAATTGGAGACCTTATCATCACATTTGCTCGATCTTGTGAAACGTAAAAAGTTGAATTATGCCTGCTTAACAATCCTTTTGCTTAGAAATATTTTAAAATTTATTTTTAAATTCTGTATATATACATACACATTAAAGATAAGCATGAACAATCATTGATAACTAAAGAATGTTATCATATATGGAAATGACGCATGGAGGATACAGGATTATCCTGGATTATGATAATTCAGGATCCGATACACTACATTTTTTCTTTTAATGAGAAATAAATGTACCTTTTATAGCTAGCGTTTTTTATAATGTTTGAGAAAAAAATAACTAAACTTTGTTTTAAAATTAGTTTAGTTATCGATAAGTTTACAAGTTAAAGATTTTTATTTATTACCTATTAACAATTTGTTTAATACATCAATGCACAAAGTAATGATAAAAAAGTATATAATAAATATAATATATTATAGATATTTATTGTACCGTTTTTTACTGTTCGTAGTGTGAATTAAAACACGCACTGGTTTATTAACGAACTAAACGATTTATTTTAATAACTTAATTACACTTAAAACACTAAGAAACTATAAAACTAACTATAGTCACTTAACTACTAATTATTTATATATCACCACTGTACAAGAGTCTATTTATTTGCACGTATATTTATTTATTTTATCGCGAGTACCAAAACTTGACTAACTCTCCATGATGCGTCGTTCCTTATATGTTCAGTGCCTACGTTCCCGAATATTCCAGCGAGCTCCACACAGCTCTCGATCGCTCGAGCGCTGACTCACCGGCGATGAGTCATCATTCCGAGATCCAGAGCCGTATTCGCTACATAATTATATAGTTTTTTATCATTTCTTAGTACACCCATTATTTTGTTAAAAAGTTATTTCTTTCCAAAAAAGTTGTTTTCTACAATTAAAATGTTATATTTTGTAAAATTAATTAGCTTATGTTTAGAAGCAATTTTTAGTTCTTTTTATAATAGGTTTAATAGTATATTATGTAACAAGTTTGATAAACGCCATTTTATACACGAATTTAATTTAGGCACGAGCGAGCTTGCGAGCGGGTGCTTAAATTAATGAGTTTATAGAAAAGTTTATAGACGAGGTGCATACTATACTTTTTCTATGACAACCCAGGTAGCACAACGTGACGAAACCGTGACGATTTGTGTCCATTGTGTCCAATTGGACACAAATCGTCACGGTTTCGTCACGTTGTGCTACCTGGGAAATACTTATTATTATCTTAAAATGATTTAAATCAAAAATTTGTATAAAGCGCCATCTATGAAACAATAAAGGAATCTGTGTGACACAGTCAAATGTCAAATTTTTATATTTTATTAACAAAGATTATAAAGGTTATAAATCGAAACGTATTTCTTGAAAATTGAAAGTGAAAGTAAAGAAAATGTTTTATGAGCACTTTACAGTGGACTCCGTGCCCGAATTTAAGTTATAGTTTACTGCCGGCGAAATTAAAAGGTCAGTACAATGTTCATATAAATTTTTCAAATATTGGCGTTGAGAAACTATTTATTACTTTTGTATTTTTGTATTGAGATAGTAAAATAATTTTTACATTTAGTATTACTTTACAAGAAAGGCACTTTATTTTAACGATTGTATGTCATTTGACAACTGTCAACTAACTTAAAACTAACTTCAGCCCGTGACTAAAAACCTGTTGCTAACTTCAGCCCGTGACTAAAGCGCCATAAAGCCATAACTTGGCAATGTGTATTTAAAAGGTCACTTAGTGTCATGGAAACATGTACGATAAAGGGCGTTTTAAAGGTGGGAGTAAAAAAAAAATTTAAACGATTATATATACTTATAATTATAATACCCAAATTAAGACAAATTAGAAACCGTGTAACTATAGTTATATATAAATTTCTTGAAAAATATTTGACAAAATTTCATATTTTTTATTTGCAGGCACATGAATTTAAAATGTATTAAATATAAAAATAACTAATTGACAAAAAATTGTTAGTAGGCATTTAAAAAAAATCTTTAACTTGTAATACTATTGATAACTGCTAAATTAATTTTAAAACAAAGTTTAGATATTTTTTTCACAAAAATTACGGAAAACCTAAATTAAACTCTGGCTATAAAAGGTACATTTGTTTCTCCTTAAAAGGAAACATGTTCCTTCTTATCTGCATATTGAGATGCGTGACCATTGTCGTTGGTTGGAAGTAACTCTCCAGTACATATTATCACGACAACAATGATGAATAAAATTTACTTAAAATTTACAGTAGTGTATCCTGCATGCGTCATTTCCACATATGATAACATTCTCTAGGTATTAATGATTGTTCATGCTTATCTATTAATATATATAATATATTATATATATATACAGAATTTAAAAGTAAATTTCAAAATATTTTCAAGCAAAACAATTTATTTTCATGAAAGCGTACGTTTAATGGTATAAAATGATTTTTTAACTTTTTCACACTGCATTTTCATTGTATCATCTAAAAAAGTCAAAGTAACAATTTATAATGTTTTAAACAAATCCTGCTAATTTGTTTTTTTACCCTGTTATAGGCGTGATTAAATCCCAAGAACCGTATTTAAGACTTTTAGTTTATAATTTTAAAAATGTTTAAAAATTAAATAAACTTTAAATAATTAGTAAAGTTCATTTTTTTTTCATCTGGACTGCGGCAACGTTGCAAATTTAAGGTTTTGGTTGGTAAATACAGTTGTCAAGTTGGTCGCATTGATTAAAACAAACTAAGCTAGTTATAAATCTTATTGTGGTTATGTATAAATTATTGTAGGTTACATTGTGCAGTTGTCAAGTTGAGTTGTCAAAATTCGTAGTTAAAAATGCAATTAATTTGGCTTTTGGCTTGGACGAGTAAAATCATATAAAATAGTTAAATATAGGTTGCTTTACGGCCCAGAAGAGAAAGTATTCCTAGCGGATAATAATCTTCGCTTTGAAAAGAATTTAAATAAAAAAAATTAAAATTTTTTGTGAACTTAAATGTTGTCCAACGGCGAATAATGTGAAAATAATGTGTGATGTAATATTTATAAAACCAAATTCGTTACTTTTTTACTCCAAGAATGTCCATAAGGCGATGTACTTTTTCTTTCATTGTGGCATTTGGCATTTCATCAAAATGAAGTTTTGCCCTCAAAAGGGCTTTTACATTCGAATTTGTTGCTATTATTTTTGGCATAATTATCTTTTTATCTATAATTGACAAGTAAATTATCAATAATAAATATTATTGTCAATTTGACAGTGTCAAAGTATTTAATTAAATTCTTTAGCAAAATACTAAGTCAAACTGGCATAAGCCACCAACCTAACAAAAAAACACGAGTCCAGATAAAAAAAAATGAACTGTAGGTAATATTACACTTGTGGTCGTTTTATCAATGTCTGGTTAAGTGTCAGCTAATTTATTTGACAGATAACTTTCATGGATTGTTGTGACATAAATGATAAAAAAGAGATTTATTAACTTAAAAAGCGAATTTTGAGTTTTCATTAATCATATAGATTTTTACCTGTCACTATAATTTAAATAACTTTTACATTCAAATGCAGAACAAACCACCATTGTATTTTAATATTAAAACCGATGTATTTAATTCATTTTTAAATAATATGATAGTTTTTCTTGAAATAAGAATAAGTTTACCCTTGCACCTATAGGTAACATTGAAAAATAATATCCAAATAAGTATAGGTTATAACCTAGAACTATAGTTCTTGCATTCAACCCCCTATTTCCTTCAAATAAGAATAAATCAATCCTTAAATAAAAAGTATCTATACTTGTGGAATGGTGAGATGAACATCTTTAACTATAATAATATATAATAGCTTTTTTTCCGTGTAATTCGCGAATTCGGAATTGGATTTTAATTTTTTAAACTGCAATAGATCAATTGCATTTCATTTAAAATGATTAAAATTTGTTTAACACTGGATTTGTACTTCCCCTCAATATCTAAATTACTTGTTTTTGATCAAGATCATAATATTAAATATTATTTACTATAACTCAAAAGTTATAGTTATAGTAAAATTATTAAAGGTGTCTTGTTTTTAATTGAAAGCCTTGTATAATAAATATAATAAAATATATTATATTTATTATATATTTTTTATTAGTTGCACTAATTATTTTGTTAAAAAGTTATTTCTTTCCAAAAAGATGTTTTCTATAATAAATTATTTTATTATTAATATAATACTTTTTTATTCAATAAGTTTATAATTTGTAAAATTATTCTAGTGTTTCAGAGATTTAACCGGTTTTTGTGCAAGTACCCAAAATAAACTTAAGTACCACAGACCATGTTCTGTGCTTGGTACTTTTTGTCTATATCTACCATGCCATAAAATAAAAACAATTTGAGTGTAGTCTGATTACCTTTTCGCTGAAGACCGAGTCATCCTCTTGTCCGGCTTTGGCGAGGTCGTTTGCCTCGTTGACGTAGAGGCCGCTGTAGACTTCGATGGTCGCGGGCGTTCCCTCGTCCGATGCCTGTCTTCTTAGGCGGTTTCCTCCGCAGCTCGGGGCCTGTAAAACCGCACAATCCCAATTAAAATTGGCTTTACACTTTTTTTATTTTAAGGTTTTAAAACAGTAAATTTTTTTAAGTGTTCATTCTGATCATTTTAAAGTTGATTTTTTAAAGAATTGATAAATTCATGGTATTTATTTAGTAATAATCTTCTTTATTGATTTGCCAAAAATAAATACTTCTGTTGGCAAGTTAAGAGTAAAAATTAAAGTGATATATTGAAAACGTGGTTCAAAGTGATTGGAAAATTAAAAACTGCAATTACATGCCTATAGTATATTACACTACAATGGCAGAAAGTGTGAGATTCCTGCACTGCGCGCAGTTCAGGGCTCTCACACTTTCTGCCCGTGTAGTGTATAGGTACTATTTTTCTTGCTACCCGGCCGAAAATACGGGAATGTGTATGTCGTTAAACTTTCGTCCCTGCTATTAGGGACGAAAGTAAGTACTTTCGACCGATGTATGAAGAAAAATAGTATACACCACACGGGCCAAACGTTGAAATCTCGGTCGAAACAAGGGCTGAAAATTTAACTTTCGGCCTTGTAGTGTAGCTTGACCAATGCATCAAACGTAAACTTTCTGCCGTGGAATCGGGGACGAAACAACGTATTTTCGGCCGAGGTAGTAAGAAAAATTTAAAACACTGCAGGTCACATTCACAATGGTTTAAAATTAAAAAAATGGTAGGACAAATTCGCACAGTAGAATATATTTTAAAAAAGGAAGACTAATTCGCACAATGGCATAAATTTAAACATGGTAGGACAAATTCGCACAGTAGGGTAAATTTAAAAAATGGAGGAACAAATTCGCACAGTGGTTTAAATTTAAAAAAGTGACGGACAAATTTGCACATTGGCGTAAACTTAACAAAAATTTAAAAATTTTAAAAATCATATTTTTTATTTACTCCATAAAAGTATAATTTTTAACGCGCGTATAAAAGTACACGCACCGTTTTTTTTAAATAAACCATTTTTGGTATTAGTATTTTAGTACAATAATAGTTAAATTATTTAAAGATTTAGTAATACTTAAAAATAATGAATTTCCATAAAACAGTTTTAGATGTGTAATATCTTATATTAGCATATGTACAAACTTACAACTTTACCAAAATTTTTGTTTTGTTTTTTTAATCTTCTTTTTATCATCAATCGTCATCACCCATCTCCCCTCCTTCTGTTGACGTCATCATATTTTTTTCTATTTGAACATGATGAGATTTTTTTTATGAAAATAAAATATAATGACGTCATCATAAGAATTGCTGCTCTTCCCCCTGTGCATGCTGACGTAATATATGGCTGACCCCCAACTGGACTTTTTTTGTATTTTTTTGTACATGACATAACCCCCTTTCGCGTGGTATGACATTTTTGGAATATTAGAATATTGTATTATGTTATTATGTATTATGTTAATTTAACAAATTTTAAATAATCCTCAGAAAAAATATGCTCAGTTAAAAGTACCTGCACTGTTATAAAAATTAGATTTGTTAACATGAGTTTGTAGTTTGTTAATTTTATTTTGTAAAATTTTAACATAATTTTTTGTAGAAAACCAGGGTTTGTAATTATTTTAACAAAGGAAAATATTTTACCGAAAGTTTTGTAAAGGTATTATGCAATTTTGTAAGCATATTGTTAATTTTATAGTTTAAAGATTATTTTGTTAATGTTTAACAAATTATTTCTTTGAAAAAGTATACGTGATTTCAGACAGTCAATCAAAATAGTTCCCACTGACAATACGCATCAACAAGTTCAACTGACTTCAGCGTCTACAACTTATGTTTCCGCTTACTTTATTCTAATTCGTAACGTGTTCGTAACAACTGTCCAGAGTATTTATAATATATTACCAGAAATCTGTTAAATAACAATAATTATTGTTATTCGGATTTCTTATACTTATTTAACGAGTGTGCGAAGTGCGAAGTATCCGAAAAAATGATGCCATCACTGGTTTTTAAAGTGAAATTAGGGAATACAGTGAAGTGGGTTAAAGTTACGAAATAAATCAGTTATAGTATTATTGATAATTATATTGTACCAAATTTCTTTATCATATGATGATTTCATTTTATGTAGGTTTAGTTTGATTAATAAAGCTACATTTCTTATCAAAATTCTTTTCATTTAAGTTCCCAATTTCCAACAAAACTTACTGGGTCTACAAAAAGGTTATAATATATATAATATTAATAAGATAAATTACAAGAATAATGGTTGAATTATTCATGTGGTATTTTGTTATTAAATCTACAAAATGTTTGTTATAATTACAAACTTCTTATTCAATTAGACTGTAGGTGTAAACTCTTGAAATATCACAGCTAAACGCTCGGACACGTAAACATAATTTTTGGTCGTAGATTACAAATCCGTGCTCGGTTTAGCTGTATCAGGTCTAAAAAAGTTTTTCCTATTGGAAATTCGATCCGGGGACACACTGTATGCTGGTATATTATAATTTGTAAAATAATATAATTCACCTCTTGTGCCAACACTTTTATGGTTTTTATTTCATTTAATATAATTATTATATTATAATATCTTCAATTATACTCAATAAAAAAAAAATCAGCAAAAAAACGTTTAAAATTTCCTAAATTATCTAAGAAAAACACGTGTATTTTTTGATCAATTAACTTCAAATTTTGCAAGATTTGTTATTTTTTAAATTTGGAACTGATGTGTGGGTCCCGCCAAATTTAATTAAAAAAAAACTTATACAGGGTGTTTAATTTTTTTTCCAATATCTTTGAATTTTGACCTGATGCAGCTAAACCAAGCACGGATTTGTAATCTACGACCAAAAATTAAGTTTACGTGTCCGAGCGTTTAGCTGTGATATTTTCACCTCCCTACAGTGTTATCTAACAGATTACAGATTACTTAACATAAAGTTATGTAGACCTGAATTAACCTAAAATCTGGTTAATATTTGGTTAAAATTAACAAATTTGTTGTACTGCATATAGACTATAGGCTATAGTCGCTTCAGATTTGAAGTGATAAAAATATTTAGCTTAAAACACTGCCAAAAACCTCGTTTTGCGGAGTAGCTTAATGAGCTTCAATTTTGATGATTTTCATGCTATTACTGTTACTTTGTTAATTACTTTTTCATTTTTTTTTCATTATTATCTCACCTGGTAGTCACATCCGTTATCAGCCTTCAAGCAAAGCTTAACGTTGCACTGATAATATACGGACGCGGTGTACGGGAACTTGTGGGCCTGGAACTTCACCGTCGCCCTCGTCTTCTCCGAAGAGTACTCGAACAGGCCCATAATCTCCGGGTCCAAGGGACAGCCCTCGTCGTTGATGAGCTTCTGCTCTCCCCAGCCCAGCCCGTCTCTCACCAGGCATTCCGTCACGCGAATCCCGTAGGCGTCCTGCTCGTCCAGGGAGACGACCAGGGTGAGCGGGTCGCCGATTTTCACGTTTTCCGCGACCTCCTTCTGGGTCGGGTCGCCGGTGAAGATTTTCATGCTGCAACCTGGCATCGGAGCCAGCGCTGTGATTGGATCGGCTGCCATCAGACTGTAGATACAGAAGAATATTGTTATTAGTTTTCGAGGCGAAGGGTTTTGTTATGCTGGGCACAAGTCTTATTCTCATTACCAAGCAGCATTTTTAGTGGGTAAAACGTATCGGCCACTTATAAAGGGTGGGCCATCTGTAAGTTGAATTTTAACTACGTGCTATTAATGAAACTTTCAACTTAAGCGCCATGAATTGCTGACAGTGGTTTAGTTTTAACCTTCCGATTACAAAATATGCACCGAATAAATTTTGATCAGCGTTTCGAAATACTCAAAACTTACTTTGCATGTGACTGTGATCGCAGAGACGGCAAGAAAGTTGCGTTTGGAAGAAATGAGGCGCCGTCAAACCAAAGTATTACAAATTTGATCAAAAAATTGCGCAGAAATGGAATGCTGGTGGACATAAAACATGTTTCGCATGCTCGTCCTAGACGTACACCTGAAGCAATCGCTGCTGTGGCCGAAAATGTACGCATGAACGCGTCAACATCAACTCGGCGCAGATGTCAACAACTCGGCCTTTCCCGTACCACTCTGAGGATGATTCTGCACAAAGACCTCGGTATGTTTGCATACAAGGAGTTAAAGCAAGTTGACCATCCACAACGTTTTCGCTTTGCTGAGTGGGCTTTAAACCAGTTGAACGATGACCATAATTTTGCAAGAAAAATCATCTTTTCGGATAAGGCGCATTTTTACCTCGGAGGTTATGTCAACAAGCAAAACTGTAGGATTTGGGCCACGGAAAATCCACACGTCGCCGTAACAAAGCCTATTCACCATTTGTGCTCGAAAATTGGTGTTCCAGGATGGGCTACTGCCGAGCCAGCTGAGGTGGCCACTTAAATAAAATCATTTTTCATACTTAATCGGAAGAAACATTGTAACAAATAAAGCAAAATTCGTTGAAAAAAAATCAGTTTTTCTTGTTCTCATTGCTATTTTATAATTCAACATAAACATGGCCCACATTTTACTTGGAACTGTAAAGTGTATTGCCAAAATCTCTGCCACGTGGTAAAAACGGTTCTATTACGTGGAAGTGACTAAAATGGGGAACACATTTTAAGGTCAGTTACGTTCCAACAACGTTCTTGAATTGTATACAGACACGTTTATACCACGTTGTGATTACTTTTCTATAACGTGGAGCCAAAACTTAAGCTAAAATTTTCTACTCTTTCCAGCATAAGATTTATCACATTATCTTTGCTTTCTCTGAAACTGGATATTTAAGTGACACTGAATACTAAAATTATTAGAATGCACACTGAAATAGTTTTAAATTAAGTCCTACAATATTGTTGTACACTGTCGCTGCATTTGCTATGGTCTAAATTGAAAATAGTAAATAATTTTGCTATAAGAGAGTTGTCGCAAAATGTAACAAAATGTACTGGTAATGTGTAAAACAAGCAACTAACCCTATTGCAAGGATTTGCATTCTTTGTGTAAAATAACAAATAAATTGAAGCAATAATGCATTTGACGACCTTGCTTCAAGAAGGATGCAGCTCCAATTTTTGCATAAATTAAGCTTGTGGGCCCTTTCTACCTAGGTTACAAAATATTCTTTATGGTTTGGTGCAAAATCGACGCAAATCGAAATAACAGTTATGCATAAACAAGAAAAATGCAAAATACGCCACTTGGCGATTGGAGCAAGAAAGACGTAGGTCCAGGAGCTGTCTTGTCCCAAACGAGTATCAGTGGTGGATTTTGGGTAGGTATACAGATATCTCAGTTAGTAGCAGAGTTGCCAGATTTTGCAAATGAAAAAGCGGGACACGCAAATCTCTGTTAAAAAAAGTTTTAGTTTCGAAAATTTCGAAATTGTCTCGAACACATATAATTTTTTAATTATAAAATTATAAAAAAATATTATTATTTAAATGTATGATGATGGAACTTTTTCAAAAATTTTTTTTTCATTGCTTTTTAAAAAATTAACAAATTCTTTACATGTCTTTTTGTTATTAGTTTTGATCATCAATTCAGGTTCTAATTATAATTCTATAAAAAAAATGAGTTAAGCTTAAACACATTAATGTGTTTAAGCTTAACCCTGTTTTTTTTTCAAACTGTTATCAAACTAAAAATTCTGTTGGTATAAAAAAATTAATTGCAGTTGGATGCTCTTTTAAAAAATGAGCCCACATTACATCGACATCTTCCGTGTTGTTCAAAATTTTAAAAGTAGGTAGTTGGACAAACTCCTCAAATAAAATGTCTTCATCAACAGAAATTTTAAATTGTGAAGCAACATCAAAGTAATTATTTAAATTACTAAACACTGAACAATATCATGTGACTGTTCAGAATCAGATTAGTAGAATTTTAATAATTTAGTTTTATCAAAATATTTAAGCACCAACGGAAAGGTTTTTCTCTACTACTACTTAAGAATAGTAACATTCTAGTGTAATTTTTGATCATAGAAAGGATGTTTTTCTGCAATACTGTGCCAGAATATTCCTACTCTTGGTTAAGAATGGTCACAAGTAACGACATCTCCTGGCTGTTTACTAAACTTAAAAAATTTAAAAATATTTAAATATTACTGTATTATTTATTAATTAAAAAATAATAGCAGTTGTATAATTAAGGTTTAGGCAAAAATAATTAGTTATATTTATTGTTTTTCAAATATACAAATCAAAATTATAATAAATTTGATATTAAAATGATAAACCAGTTACCTACTATACCGGCTTTGAAGTTTTGACAGATTCAAAAAGTTTAAAAAAAGACCTTTAAATGTAGAAAAAGAATAGATGTTGACATAGATAAATAAATAAATAAAATAAAATACTTTATTTTCATCCCAAGAAACATACAGTTTATAGAGGGACACCTCTAATCATACAATTACTTGTAAAATTAGTTTTGCATTTGTTACAATGTTATTTTTTTTATTAGTTAGTGTAAATAACTATTTTTAATTATAATAAAGGTTTAGGCATACCATTTGTTTAAATTTATTATAATTTACATTATAAAATTGTGACGGCACAAAATGGTTTGACAGTATGTCAATGTCAAAAACTGCTTGGTTTATTTTCTCTGTTTAAAATTATATAAGCGTTACTATTCTTACGTAGTCGTAGAGAAAATAATGTCTGAAACACGTTTGGAATAGCATATTCCACTCTCGTAAAACCGTCACACTCGCCTTCGGCTCGTGTGTCAAATTTTTCCTCGAGCGGAATATGCTGTATTCCAAACTTGTTACAGAATGTTGCCTTTATTTGAATCGAAATCGACGGTGTTTAGAAAGATCTTCTAAAATATTTTTTTTGCTATAGGGTCTCAAAACATTTGTAACAATCTTTGTGAGTTTTGTTCTGCCACAAATAAAGCTACACTCAGCAATTAGCTTTTTTTGCGTCATCTCCCGTTCGATCAAACATTTTTTAAAGTGCATTTGTGTTTGCTAACTTTTAAATGTTCTTTTTGTGTTTTACACTTTTTATATGCTTTTGAATATCATTTTCGTCCTCATGACCCAGTGATAATTAAAGCTTGATTGCGATAACAAGTGATAAAATTGCCTTAAAATATGCTGATCTTTAATTAAGTTTTTTTAGACGTAGATCGTAATTTTCCTGTATTTTGTAAATTTTTTAAATTATTCCCTTTTTTCGTTCGCAATTTTGAAAGATATTTAAAAATCGGGATTTTCGACGTGCAAATTGGAAGGCGGGACAAGTCGGGACACATCGATAAAAATCGGGACAGTCCCGCCTAAATCGGGACGTCTGGCAACCCTGGTTAGTAGACATGGGACCCACACCAAACCCAACCCACACCAAACTTATATGAGTTTATAATGACATTAAATAGACAAGTTCTGCGAAAGCAGAATTTAAATTGAAGTTTGCGAAAAAAGTTAGTTTTTCAGCGCGCCTCACCCCTCTAATTAAGATTATTCAAATTAAAGTGGTGCAATTCATAATTCACTAAATTTTATAGTTAAATTTCAAAATCTAAGAATTACAGAATTCATATCATTAAAATTTTATTGTTCCTTAACTAAAATTTAGGAATATACCATCAAAAGTTACCTTTATAAAAATTGAAATATGACAACGTAATGCTATTGGCAAGACAATACGTCCCCAAGATTGATTTACCTTTTTATAAAAATCTAAGTTGAATATACTGACGATGATGAAAATGAATAAATATAATCATATTACTAAAAAATATATGTAATAAATTAACTGAAAAATGTTTCTGGAATGATTTATTTTTTTCTATTTTTATAAAAATTGTAAAAACATTTTTCAGTTAATTTATTACATATATTTTTTAGTAATATGATTATATTTATTCATTTTCATCATCGTCAGTATATTCAACTACACCGTTAGATTTAGATTAAGATGTTCATAAAAAACTATAGCTCCTGTAAACAAATCAGAATTATGTACTTTGTGTTTAATTTATGTACAAGGTTTTTGGTGTTTATTTCTCTTAAAGTAAGTACTTTTGTTAGGTAAAACTAAAAATTGCATATCAATTAAAACAAAAATTCAGAACGTTTTTTCGTTTTTCTCAGAATGTATATTTTTGGAGCTGCATCCTTCTTTCAGCAAGGTCGTCATTTGGTCTGCGATGAAGAACGCAACAATACCAACGCGTGTAATACCACAACCCAAGTTGTGTGAAAAATGTATGCAAGTGTGGTAGTTTTAAATCAAATTATTTATAGCAAAAAAATCCTTCTCTGATTGGTTGATTTAAGGTTAATGGTGTTTTTTGTCTTGGCATACCAAAACAACGTCCCTCTGGCCGGTATACTGTTTAAATATTTATCTAGTGTAGCGGTCAAAACTATTTACCCTAGTTGTAAACAAGCCAAAATTAAGGGGTTAATAATTTGTGTTGTGTGAGAAAAGAGCAATGGATCAGTTTGTGTATAAATGTGTTTTTGCTTTAAAAATCTAAAAACAATACTGCATTTCTAGTAATATATTTAAGGAGTGATTTTTCAAAAGGTCGTATTTCCATTTGCAACAATTTTTCAAAAAAATAACTATAACCTGTATAATAACCTGGTTAGGGCAATATAGATTATTTAAAAAAAAATTCTGATGAATATTTAATAATACTTCAGACCTGCGTCATATTTCGCCGTTAATATATGCCTTTTAACCATACCTTTGGGATTTTGTCAAAAAATTACATTCAAGTAAAAATGGAAATAAGGTATTTTGAAAAATCACTCATTTACTTTTCATAAAAACAATTCATAAAATAGAAAAACTAGAAAAGGGTTTATTCCACTTAAATAAATAAATAAAAATTCCCTTCATTGGAAAAAAGGTTTTTTTTTGACAACCCTATATAATTAATCTTTAAGGTAATCGAAGCAGCTGCAAGTGAACCGATAGTATTTGAACATGTCTGAACCAAAACAATGGAGCATCGCGTTTATGAAATATAATATATTTTTTAAATGGAATACCAAATATATTTATATATTTTTGAATAGAGCAATATAAGGCACGGTCAAAACTTAAGTATAGGACGAACAAAAATGCCAACCAAAACTGATAGCATATTTTGATTATAGACCCTTTTGGTAACACTAACATGTATTTATCAAAATCCCAGCTGATCCTATTTTAAAGTTTTGCAAACTTTTTTGTTTTTCTATTTCTATATATTATTTCGCAATTATTGTACTAAAACTATCTGTACAATTTTAATAAAATTAAGCAAAATAATAAACTTTGTATCATTTAAATTACTTTACTCCCCAGTATTAATTTATTGAGTCACCTATTATTGTTTACCACTCAAAACAAAACATAACAAAAAAAACGAAGATTTATATCTTAAATATTTTTTATAACAAAAATACCTACTGGAAGTTTGTCTATGAAATAATTACAACTTGCAAATTTTGTAAAACAGGTGGTTATGAAAAAAATTGCTATACGTTATGACGCAAGTGACATTTTGCTTTAGTTGATTATTTAATGTATACTTTATAAAGTTGAAAATAGTATTTTAAAATGAAAATTAAACCGAAATTCAAGTTGAGCCATGAAGAAAATCGAAAGAAGGTATGTGCTGGCTGTGGAGACAAAATTGTTTTTGGTAATTCAGAGTTTAGGGTTTCTGACAAAATTTAAAAATTACTGCAGACTTTTTCAAACGAACACTTTAACTTAGGTGATTCAAAATTACGTACTTCAATATGGTAAAAACGGTATTTTTGCATAGCCACAATTGCCAAATTTTCAAAATTTAGAAATTGCTAGAGAATTTCGCGGCAGCCAAGAATGTATGTGCTTTATCTGCAAAATGGCAAGATATAAAGGGCATAAAAAATTATTAAGGGAAGAGGACGGACGAACGAACTAAAATTTTGATATGCTCTTCCTTTCTAGGGGATATCGCTAGATGTAAGAAGCATGTTTGTTCAGAGACTGAATAATTTAAAAATACTGTTTCCATGTTAAAAACAATTCCATGTAAAACCCAAGAAAAAGTTTTACTGAAAATTTAAGGCAAGCAGTAATCGATTTTGCTTTAAAGAATCTTTAGTTATTTATTAGTTTTGTATTAGGTACCTTAAAACAATACATAAGATATTGCAAACTGTATTTTACATTATTTTGTATTTATAATGTAATTTATCCATATTTCATGTATCTGCCAAATTTTTAAAAACATTTGATAATGGTACTAGAGTATTTTATCGAAATGGCATAAACAATTTAAAAATACCAAGAAATATGCAAAACTTTAATAAAGGATCAGCTGGGATTTTGATAAATACATTTTTGTGTTACCAAAAGAGTCTATAATCAGATTATGCTATCAGTTTTGGTTGGCATTTTTGTTCGTCCTATAGGACGAACAAAAATGCCAATGTATATATACTTTAGTTTTGACCACCGTGAATGGCGTTCCAAAACACCCATATGTGTAATATTTTTTTTTATTCGTCACTGAAATAGGTATTTATTTTAAAGCTGTTAGGCATGTATACTGCATTTTTAGCATTAAGTTTATTTTTAAGACTAGTATGTTGATTTGTATTCCAGTCAGTAATAAAACTAGTATTATTTTACAGAACATTTCTACATCTTGTTGTGTACCTATAAGGAAGACAAGGATATAAAGGTGGCCATTATTGCTTTCTACTTACTCCACTTTGAGTGAGTCGTTAGTGATGGTGTTGTTTCTTGTATTGTATCGACACCTTATATGGAAACCTCTTCCTTGATTCGTTACAAGCTTCAGATGCGGCTGAACAACGATGGTATTAAAGTACTCAATACCACCATCATCCTAGAAAAAAAAATAGTTAGTAAACCGTTAAGTACTAATTAGTTTCACGCATAAAACTTTTTTTTCAATATATTTGAATTTTTAAGTTAAATGAAAAAATAAAAAAAAACAGACATTACAATTTAAAATGTTTTTTGGTCTTCCCTGGTTTATCTTAAGCAGATAAACCTCACGAATTCAAATAATTCACAATTTATGTGTCACTGTTCTCAGCACCAAAGGTAAATTCCTGCAATTGATAAAAATACCATCAATGATGACGTTTCATTACCACTATCAAAGGTATTTATCTTCATTTCAAATACAGTTACATCTTCATTCCTCTGAGTTTTTACGACGTCACCATGATTTAGTTTCTGGGCTTGGCTTTTATTTTTATAAATGCTTCTTCATTTTTGATTCGGTCATTTTAATGTATAGGTGAAAGTATAACATGCTTGCAAAATAAATAAAAAATGTTATGTTATATAAGCATGTTTTTATTGATTCTTTTATTCATAGGTGTTAAAATTCGGACACGTTTATTTCCTAAGAACCAATTAACCAATCAATCAATTCATCTTTGGTTGTTTAATTTTAATTTAATTATGGTCATATGTACTATTATCTATTTGCCAGTTTAAGGCTAATTTCACCTTATTTTCTGAAAACCGAAGTAGTAGGTACAATATATGTATTTTTTTTCGTAAAGGTGATAAAAATCTAATTGTAGAGACTTTTTGTAATTCTCTATTTTTTGTTTCAATGTTGTTTTAAGTTTCTATTGCGTTGTTTATTTGTCAGCTACAAAATCGTTTTTACTTAAAATTTTTAATAAAATTAAGATTTAAGGGGGTGATGAATCCAGCCGTGCATAGACTTTTTTTAAATCGCTTATTTGATTTCTTAAAAATTTGCTCTCGAAAACTGACATAGTAGGCCTTGTATTTTGTAAAAATATCGTGTTTTTTGCTCCAAAAATACAGTTTGTCAAGATCTACACTCTAAAAAAATCCCACAATAAATAAAGATTTTCCATGGTTGACTCACAAACAAATGGATTACACTGTGGATGAATTCGAGAGGGATTAAATTGCAAATCTTTGGTGGCCACTTTCAAATCCATTGGAAAACATTGACATAATTTAACGAAATTAAATTCAAAATTCTTCTTGAGACACCCTTTCAGTGGCGTACAGAACGGGCCCCGCAGGGCTCGCAAAGCGAGGGGGGCGACCTTAAAGGGGCCCCTAAAGACTTATATCATAACCTAGTTCATATTTACGTGGAATAAAAATTTAAAAATAACTAGTATAACAAGATGTAAAAAAACGGTTTTGTTCCAAATAAAAAAAAAACGTTTTGTTTTTTTGTTTATTTTTTCATCAAAATGTAGTAAAACTATCAACATAGTTAAGTTAACAAAAATCCATCAATTTGTTAACCGATTGGTCCAATAAATTTCAAATATGCTTTGTCCCTACTTCCATTACTTTTATCTATTCAATTAGTTTTGTGTTACCCAATACACATCAAGTTACATATGAACCAGTGTGACCTTTAAGTCGCCTACTAGTTTTAAAACGACCTTCATGTTTTCACAAAGTAACTGAAAGTGATTTTATTAATCCGTTTTCGACAAAAAAATCAGGTGGGACGTTTCCAATTCGGTTTTTAGATAGGTGTAAGTTGAATTTGCAAAATGTGGGAGACGGTGGGCGCTGTTTGCATTATTAATTATGATGACAAACAAATCAGCAGAAAAATAAGTTAAAAAACAGAACCTAAAGAAATTAAATTCAGATAAAAGTAATAAAGAAACCCTTTTCTAAATATCGTGTTTCATGAACTATGTTTGGGGGTCCATATTATCAAAACTACCTGTTTTTTTAATATAAAAAGTGACGAGCAATTCTTTTTAACACGTAAATATTATTAAGAAAGTAAAAGGAAACTATTGCAAAACTAAATGATCTTAAAACAAATTTCTTTCATCTTGGCATTGAGATTGTATATTGACAGAGCATCTAAACGCTTTAAAGATGCGAGTTTGTGGCGAGGCAAAAATTGCAGCAGGATCGAATTTAAAATTCCCGAGTTGCAAAACCGGTCTGAACTTCGTACGCTTGTTCTTGAACCAACGAACGAGCGCTTTTAAAAAAAGCCAGATCCCACATTATACAAAGGTTATTGCCGGGGCGTCCTATTAGTACTAGCATTTGCTTGCTTCGTTTGCTAGTTCCTTTAGGGTAATTCCATTTATTAGCCACCAATGAGTGCACCTCATATACTCTAATTTTATTTCTTTTTTAACTGTTAATAGACATGGACCCAAGAAGTGAAAAAAACTCCCCTTTTCTTTTCTCCCCCTATCACCTATTTATACAGGGCTACGCAAAAGTTACTATGCAGACCTAACTTAAAAAAAATGTATTTTTTTTGCTAATAAAGCTATCGACATTAAACAAACTGTTAATTGTTAAGAAAATATTTCCCTTTTAAAGCATATAGGACACATTTAGTTATTGATGCCCTAAATGGTCTTTGGGATTTTTTTTTTAAATGCAATTTTTTGGCAAAATTGTCTAATTTTATAAATTCATATATTCTTAGAACAACTTGCCAGCAAAATTTTTTTAATGTAGTTTGTTACCATAGATCTTACTCTATATAAAAGCAATGAAAACATTTTCAAATAATATTGGCTAAGAGTTCAAAAAATATAATAAAAATTCATGTTTTCCAAAAATCACTATTTTCAGCCATTTCATGGTTTAAAAAGGCTATGTTTGAGTGAGTCGATTTAAACCAATTTATGCTTATCATCACAGGCACTTATTGGTCTCCAATAATCATGAATAAAATTATTATGTATTTTTCTTTTAGCTGGGCTGTGGATGTATATGTCCACCTGTGACTATATCCATATTATTAACCATATATTTCGAAAAAGCGTATTACATCTTTAAAATAACTTGACAGCCTTGAATTGACTTCTAATTCATTCTAAATAAAAATATAAAATATAAAAACCACATACAGTGGCGTCAAAAATTAGCTACCCATTTATTTATTTTTTAAATTAAGAAAACATAATCAAATGTACAAAAAATTAATTAAATGACTAAAAGACATACTTTTCATAAACTTTATATTTAAACAAAATAAAACAGGTATTCAATCCTAAATTTGAATTAAACCTAACTGCATATAATTAAACTGAAGAAATCATATTCTTAACTTTTACAATCACCTAAAAAACCTATTTACTATTTTTTACCTCTAAAAAGTTATATAAATCGGAAAATTTTCTTATGTGTATAATGTCTATCAAGAGGAATAAATTAACGACTTATGGCCTTTACTTAAATGGATCGCAGCAGACTTCACCAAAAATGTTGGTAAAATTATATAGATACTTTAATTTGTGATACCTACTTACAAATATCGGTTACAGTTGCATCCACTCGCCATTCTATTATTTGCTTTCCTCCTTAGTACAAGATTCAATCTTGGAAAATCGCAAAAAATATTTTTATCCGAAATCTGCCGAAAGTAGTCAACAATCGGCAGTAAAGTATAAGAAATCAGCAGTAAAGTAGAACTTTATTTTTATTAAAAAGAAGGGAATGGCGAGTGGATGCAACTGTAACCGATATTTGTACGTAGGTATCACAAATTAAAGTATCTATATAATTTTACCAACATTTTTGGTAAAGTCTGCTGCGATCCATTTAAAGGCCATAAGTCGTTAACTTATTCCTCTTGATAGACATTATACACATAAGAAAATTTTCCGATTCATATAACTTTTTAGAGGGAAAAAATAGTAAATAGGTTTTTTAGGTGATTGTAAAAGTTAAGAATATGATTTCTTCAGTTTAATTATATGCAGTTTGGTTTAATTTAAATTTAGGATTTAATACCTGTTTTATTTTGTTTAAATATAAAGTTTATGAAAAGTATGTCTTTTAGTAATTTAATTAATTTTTTGTACATTTGATTATGTTTTCTTAATTTAAAAAATAAATAAATGGGTAGTTAATTTTCGACGCCACTGTATGTGGTTTTTATATTTTATATTTTTGTTTAGAATTAATTAGAAGTCAATTCAAGGCTGTCAAGTTATTTTAAAGATGTAATACGCTTTTTCGAAATATATGGTTAATAATATGGATATAGTCACAGGTGGACATATACATCCACAGCTAAAATAAAAATACATAATAATTTTATTAATGGTTATTGGAGGCTAATAAGTGCATGTGATGATAAGCATAAATTGGTTTAAATCGACTCACTCAAACATGGCCTTTTTAAACCATGAAATGGCTGAAAGTCAGGTGGGCATATTGTGTATTTTGCTTATAGCTGGGCTGTACATACAGCCACAGCCCAGTTAAAAGCAAAATACACAATAATTTTATTAATGGTTATTGGAGGCCACTAAGTGCATGTGATGATAAGCATAAATTGGTTTAAATCGACTCACTCAAACATAGCCTTTTTAAACCATGAAATGACTGAAAATAGTGATTTTTCGAAAACATGGATTTTTAGTATATTTTTTTGAACTCTTAGCCAATATTATTTGAAAATGTTTTCATTGCTTTTATATAGAGTAAAATCTATGGTTACAAACTACATTAAAAAAATTTTGCTGGCAAGTTGTTCTAAGAATATATGAATTTATAAAATTAGACAACTTTGCCAAAATATTGCATTTTTAAAAAAATTCCCAAAGACCATTTAGGGCATCAATAACTAAATATGTCCTATATGGTTTAAAAGAGAAATATTTTCTTAACAATTAACAGTTTGTTTAATGTCGATAGCTTTATTAGCAAAAAAAGTAAAAAAATTTTAAGTTAGGTCTGCATAGTAACTTTTGCGTAGCCCTGTATAAATAGGTGATAGGGGGAGAAAAGAAAAGGGGAGTTTTTTTCACTTCTTGGGTCCATGTCTATTTACAGTTAAAAAAGAAATAAAATTAGAGTATATGAGGTGCACTCATTGGTGGC